GCTAGATCTAATAACATTGCATCATCTTTGCCAGCACATAGATGTCTACCGCGCTCATAGTAAGTAGAAACATCATAAAAAAAAGGCTTGAAGACTGATCTGATGAACAAGGAATACAATTGAGAAAGATTATTATTAGGAGTAATACCAATGTTTACATCTATAATTTTGTTTTTTTTACCTATGCCAAACTTTATGTGAGATTGAAATAATGATTTTTTTTTTGAAAATAGATTTTAGGAGGTTGATAAGATAAGTTATGAACCTTAGTGGTAACAGAAGAATGCGATAGAACACTTGGTAAAACTGCACATGATCCTCTTTTTAAAACTCTTTAACAAGAGGATCATTTGATTTGGTGACCACATATCCTTGGAAATAGAGCGACAATCAGTAATACAACATAAAATCCTCAGAATTTCTTTATTTGCTTTATGATCAACACGTGGGTATATACATAAATTAAAAAACTTTTTATATTTTTCAAGTCCAAATTCAGGATAAATATACCGAATTTGTTTATTTAAAACCGTAGATAATGCAATTAAACAAAGAAAAGAAGCAAATTTATTGTTTCTGCAATTGTTATGTATCATTTAATTCTGTAAAAAAATCAAAAGACTCAAATGAAACACATGCCATAAAAACACTAGAGAATGAAGAAAAACTTTTACATTTCACTTGGTTTAAGATTATTGGGTATCTCAAATTAAAGGTTGCTTTCTCAAACAACTCAACAAAAGTTAATAGACGAAGAATTTCATGTGTTTTATCTGTGAATTTATTAATAAAACAGCAGAATTGTAAAGATAGTTACCAGTTTCAATTGACCTGTAAAGTCATAACATATATAAACTAAATATAACAAAAACAAACATATTTAACTAAACATTTGTCAAGAATTATTGTTTTATAAACAAAATAAAACATTAAAAAAAAACGTGTTTAAACTCATACTTTAAAACAATATAGTCTTCATTTTCTTTTTGCATAGGAATAGAAGCTTCCATTTGAAGAGCTTAGTGCTAAAAGTAGTTAAGCCACAAAAAAATGTTTTGAGAAAATATTTTTTTCAATCTTCTGTTAAATCAGAGATATAACAGTTTAAAGAAAGGATTTTGTCTGATCAAAGTAGATTTTCTCAAAACATTTTTTTTGTAACTTAGATACTTTTAGCACTAAGCGCTTCATTTCAGAACTTCTTAAAGAAAAAAAAACCTTTGTTTTCAACAGGAAAGTTTGAATTTAATTCTTTAAGATTATTACGTGGCTTTGCTTTGTAAATCGTAATATTAGGCAAATGCTTGGCATTAATGGCATTGGATAGCAACAAATCCATAATTGGAAACAAAAATAAAATTTATAATAAAATTTACTAAACTTAATAAAATTTAGCTAAATTTTGATAAACTTCAATTTATTCGAATACTTAAGGCTTTATACAAATAATTAAGGCGTTATTGGAATAGTTAAGAATTCATTTTTATATATATATAGAACCCTTTTGATCAAACATTCTTGCAACTTTTTTTTGTTGTCTACCGGAAATTCGTGTCAAATGAATCCTGAAACAATAGGGGTTTTTTGGCCGTTACTACGGCAAGCAAAATAAATATATTGCCATAACGATTGATTAAAAGGGTTCTTTCGGTACCGTTTACTTTTAAAAAAGAATCCTGATTTAATAGCGGCATTTTGAAACATGACGGAGGAGAGCTATGTCTTTGAAACATTGTTATAGCCGTGCATGTTTTTCTATAAAGTCAATATTTATTTTTTTAAAGAACTCATATATTCATTTTAGTATACTATAAATATAAGTTTAGTATTTTTTAGATTATAAAACGGAATTTTTTATAATTTCTTAGAATATTATGGGTGAATCCTGGGCAACACAGGATACTTCCTAGATCCGCCCCTGTATATAATATATAATAAATAATAACATAATAAACATACAAAAATAATATTTTATAAATACAATTTTTTTCCAAATAGTAACGTAAGCGTGGTTGAGTGCATTCTGCCTCCGGCTAGTAAACCGAGGGTTCCGGGTTCTTTACTCGATATCGAAATTTTTTTTTTAGTTATTCCACATTATTGATTTTTTTGTTGCTGCACACTTTTGTGTACCAACTAAATTCAGTTATGCTCTTGAGCCATATAAATTCAAAATGCAGAAATCCGTTGACAGGCTGTAACTACTCCATTAACGGAGTGTATAGATCGACTAAGAAAGATTTAGGCGTAGTTGATTTTACAATCAAAATGCAGATACATCAACTGAGGGTTTTAGTTTGGTCAGGTTCTTTTAATTAAAAAAAAGTCCTAAAAAAGAAATGTATTAAAATTTTTAATTATGCCAGATGGTGGCCGATAGCAACAGCTAAGTAAAATGTTTTTGGTTTTTTTTTGGCTAAGATTTCAATAGTTAAAACCTTTATATTGTTGTCAGAAATACTCATGTCATGCCTGATAAAAATTTGTAAATTTTATTTAATGTAAATAAGCAAACCGCCTTACTTTAGAAAATAGTACAACAAAAATGTATCATAAATGTTTTTTGCTCAAATTTTAGTTTTACTACTGAAATTATATTTTAATTTGTTTTAATAGTTTCATAGTTAATCTTTGCCATAATGTATTTTAGCAAACTTTATGTAAAAAGATAATTTTTGAAGCCCTACTGTTTAAAAGTATGAAAGTGAAATTATAAAAAATATATATATAACAAAAAATAATTATAACAAAAATATAAAATTTCACATTTTTGTAATTGAAACTTATTGCTTCAACACTTTAAAAATTATTTTCTATAAAACTTTTTATAAAGTGTTATACATTTTTGAAAACATCATGTTATGGAGATTTTAGAACAAATTCATATTTTTAATTATATGGTTTTGTTTACTAATAAATTAATTCAACTATTAAATGAGCCGAAAAATAAAAAATCTAAGTTCACCGATATTTTTGGCAGTCACCGACGCTTCCCCACGCTTCATTTTTATAATTGATTCGTAGCTTAGGTGTCTATAAAAATGATTTATTAAAAATTAGGTGTGAATACGTGGGGTTTCCTAAATTATAGATAAAAAAGTGATAAAACTCAGACAAGAGAAAACCGCTTTTTATCGTGGTTTTAGACTCACACATGCCTCTAATCAGTTTTTAGTTTTACGATTTGATCACTGTCATATATCGTTGGATTCGTTACAATGAGGAGATTAAGGTTTAATATGTCACTGAAATCATAAAATTCCTTTTAGCAAAATAATTACGTTTTAGGGGCCAAGAGGGTCCAATTTTGGAGTTTTTCCCCAAATGCAGGACATAAAAATGATATATATATATATATATATATATATATATATATATATATATATATATATATATATATACATATATATATATATATATATATATATATATATATATATATATATATATATATATATATATATATATATATATATATATATATATATATATATATATATATGTGTGTGTGTGCAGGGGCGGATCCAGCATTTTTTGGTGTTTGAGATAGCTAACTTCCAGATATGGAGCAAACTCCAAACATTTATATGTTTATACTTATATCAAATAAGGATGGTTTGCAAAAAATTGCAATGATTGGAGCCTGGGAACAAAAAAGCCCCAAAATTTGAGACGTACCTGCCCCAAACGTGAGAGCAACAAGTTGATAAAATATTTTTTGTACTATTCTCAACAAGACTTACATTTATCTATAAATTTTAAATTTCATTGTAAAATATTTCAGCGTTCAAAAATTATGACCATGTAAAGTTTGAATCCACAATTTTCAACGTTACAAGTTTGAATCCACAATTTTCAACGTTACAATTTTCATATGGTCATAATTTTTGAGCGCTAAAATATTTTACTATGAAATTTAAAATTTATTGATAAATATAAGTCTTGTTGAGAATAGTACAAAAAATATTTTATCAACTTGTTGCTCTAACGTTTGGGGCAGGTAAGTCTTAAATTTTGGGTCTTTTTGTTCCTAGGCTCCAATCATCGCAATTTTTTGCAAACCATCCTTATTTGACATAAGTATAAACATATAAATGTTTGCAGTTAGCTACATGTCTGGAAGTAAGCTATCTCAAACACCAAAAAATGCTGGATCCACCCCTGATACGTATGTATATACAGTAAGATTATTTAAAGACTGAAAATTATATAAATATATTTAGTGAGGTTATTAAAATTGAAAAAAAACTTTTTTTTATTATTTATCCTATAAGGTTCAGTTTTACATGCTTAGCAAAAAGTGAAAAAACGTAATCTCTTTTTTTTAACTCGCACATTTTTATTAAAATATTTCATTAAATGTTTTAATAAAATAATAAAAAAAATACTTTGCTATATAATTTATTTAAAATTAAAAAAAAAAAAATTAATACTGGGTTTTATAAAAAACTTTTTTTGAGAAAAAAAAGAAATAAGAAAAAATAAAATTTTCGCAGAATAAAAAGTAATTACAAACAAACTCATAGAGAAATTTAATATTTTTTGTTCAGAAAAACGCACACATTTTAATTCGTTAAAGTTTTATCAATTTCATTTTCAGCTTCTTATTTAAATGAAGAAAATAGAAACAACAATACAGACTGCGTAAGTATAATTTTTACAATTCAGAAATAAATTTAAAAATGTTACGAGAAGAGTCTGAAATGGTTTATTAAAATACGTCTACATGTTACGCCAAGTTAGTAAAAATACCCAGCAGTTTTGGCAGTAGCTTAGTGCACCTAGGTACACAAAGCTATGCTGCAAAACGAAATATATTTCTTTTCCAAGCTTGGGAAATGAATATATTTTATTTTGTAGCATGTTAAACAAAGTCTTAAGTTTGTAAAACATTTTGCATATAAATATTTATCTTAAAAATAACATAATATAAATTATGATTAAATTTGAAAAATAATATTTTTAGTATGTAAAGTATATACGTATAATAAATCAAATATATTTTGTTCGCGCAACAAACCGGGCATTTCACGGACCGCGCGTAACATATATGAAACAAAACAGAAGAGTAACTAATTTAAAATAAAGTAAGTAGTTTTACATATTGCTGTAAATGAAAACATTATTTAATATTAAGTTTACTAAAGATTTCTCGAGCAGCACGAAGAGTAGTGTCACCCTAAAAATAAGTAAAAAAATAGTTATAATTATTTTTCTACAGTTTATAAACTGTAAAAAAATAGACTTGAGAATAATGACTTTAGCTACAGTTTATAAACTGTAACTAAAGTCAAAATCAAAATATTATTGGGCAGGAAACAGAACGAAGATCAGTCATGCATGGACACTCGCAGAATTTGTTGTTGTTTCAGATATGATACTTTTCACGCATTTTTCAAAGTCTAAACTTAAGTATGTTCAGGCCTATGGCAAATGAGGATGTTTTGCTATAAATAACAAAAACGAACGCCTGGTAATATGAATAAACTCAAATTTTTGACCATTCCTGCCTAAACGTGAGGGTACTAATGTAGTAAAATTTTAAATTTTACTATCTTATATTAAATTTAAGTTCATCAACAGGTTTTAAATTTCATTCAAAAATATTGTTCATAATGGTCATAATTTAAGTTTAAAAGTTATGAACATGCAAAACTGCCGACACTTTCCACCCACTCTCCAACCAACAAAAGTACGGGGTAGTAAAATTAAAGATCTGTTGAAGAACTTAAATTTACTACAAGATAGTAAAGTTTAAAAATTTATTACATAAGTGCTTTCACTTTTTGGAAGAGAGAGCAAATGTTTTAGGATATTTTTGTTTCTAAAACTCCAGCATAACGAAATTTGGCAAAGAATCCTCATTTGGTATAGCCATGAACATACTTAAGTTTGGACTTTCCACAATGCGTTAAAATGTCAAATCTGAAACAGCAAAAAATCCTACGGCGCCGATGCAGTCACGAAATAAAATTAGATAACTTAATGCAAACTAAAAAAAATAATAAAAATTATTGGCTTAAAAATCATATTTCCCGAAAACGATTTTCAAGTTTTAAAATGTGTAACTGAGTACTGGAACTCTATGGAGCAACAAACAATTTTCGAAAAAATTATTTGAAAAATAATTCCAAGATAACCATTTTCTGTAAAAAATCTTAAACAAAAAAATCTGAGATGATTATATTACGTTTTTTCATAATGTAACTTTTTTTACTTAACTTATATTTATCAAATATAAAAATAAGAAAGAAAGACGAAGCACATCTTTGCACAATTGTTTTTTTTTTAAAAAGCAAAGTTTTAAAAGAGAAACAAAGTTATTTAAGTCGATTTACATTTTGCAAGTACGAGTTTTGGACTCCTTTGGTTAGGTTGCAAGATTATTTTTTATTTTATTCTTAAAAATATTTAGTTCAAAATTCAGTAGCCTAGTTCTGAATTCATCAAGTAACAATTAAATTTTTTGTTGAACAACATTGAAATAAAAATTAGAGCTCTATTTATAGAAATTATTGCTCATTTATTATAGAAATTGTTGCTCTAAAGAGTGAACGTTTCTTGTGCCATCTACTAAGTTTCATTTTTGAAATTACTCGTTATTCAGTTAAGTCTCATCCTTTTACTGTTGACTGTTCCTAAGTGCTCCAAAAATTCTTAACCGTCTAGCTTTTTATTCGAACTTTAGTTCTTTGGAATTTTCTCCCTTCATCTTGTCTTCCTGATTCATATAATTTACAATCTTTTAAGTCGTCTGTTAATTATAATTTTGCTTTATAAACTTTATCTTTTCTCTTCCAGTAACTTCCCTCCTTATAATGGTTGCTTGCAGCCTTGTTGAAAGTGAAGAAATTTGAAAATTAAAAAAAAAATCTAACAACTATTATAATACTCATGTAAATTCATAAAAATCATATTAGTAATCCCGCTTCGTTTATATGGCACCTCAAGGTAATCTATCACCAAGCCAACAACCAGCAATCTTGAAAATCTAAAATTCTAAAAGATAGAGAGTTCAAATGAAAAAAATAACTCTTTTAATTATTTTTAAATGAAAGCAGGTGCAGCTAAACGGATTAACTCCCTAAAAAATTACTTCCCAGTTAAAAAATTTTAACTCCCCAGTTCATATATTTCAAAACAAGTTAACCCTGGGAGAAAGAATATATAGATATAACAGGGGGCTTAAATATTTAAAATTCCCACCAAAAGAAATTAGCTCCTTTAAACCGACGTTTTATATAGTTTGGTTTATAATAAAAATCCTTTGATATCGCCTGTCATGACAGCAAAAATGTATGACATTGCCTGTCGCGACTACAAAAATCCGGGTATTATATATATATTTTTTGTTATATTAGTATTAGATTGTGAAAAAAAAAAGGAAACAAAAATGTTATTACTCATAAACTTAAGTGAACCTTTCTCTTTTTCTAGTAATATTAGAATATCAATGTCTAAGATTTTAATTGTAATATTATTTGAATTAGAAATTTCTGATTGAAAAAAACAAAGTTTTTAAGTATAGATTGTATAGGGATATAGGCTTCAGATACATTCAATAGTTTGGTTTGCACAAGTGTGGATTTATGTAATTAGTTTCTGCAAAGTTGAGATTTTTCTAGTTTTTTGTCGAGTTTATTTATCAAATCAACTTCTCTTATATTAGTTGTCATTTGCCACATGACTTTACAATCCGATTTTGGTAAAAAAATACCTGAATGAATTCTTGAAAACAATTTTTATTAGTTTAAGCTTGAGTTGTTATAACTAAGGGCCTTTTTTTATGTATTTTGATGATGATTTCTAATCCAATTTATTTTATAATGGCCATAATGATTTTTATTATTGTGAATAAGATCTCTATTTAGACTATGTTTTTCTCTTGTTTATTTCATAATACCTAATCTTGCTTAAACAGTTTTTAAACTGTTTGTGCTGGGTTTTTTATTATTATTATTATAAATTTGCCGTAGTTACAACTCTCGTATTTGTAAAATATACACATGGCGGGGGCAAGAAGAAGACAAAATAGTCTTATCGCCAAGCCCCAAATAATCCGTAAATTATATAGCCATCAAATCTTGTCATTAAAGATGTTGTCAAATGTAAAAAGAAAAAAATATATATATTTTTTTAAATAAAGATAATAAACTTTAAAATTTATTTTCTATAATAATTGAATATTAAGCAAAAATGAAAAATAAACAAACGAAAAAAATATTCAAAATAATATATAACAGTTTTTAATTATTGCGATTAAGAATTCCTTATTAGGAAATATAATGAAAAGAATTTAAAATTTTAAGGAAAATTTTTTAGATTTTTATAATAAAAAAATAAAAAATAAGTTTTTAAAGAACCAAATTTTTAAACCTTTGCAAATAAAATGAAAATATACTATACAATATTTTAAAGACCAACAATTAAATATTGCTCTAGAAAAAGTCCTTTATGTTTTGAATAATTAAAATTATTTCTTTTAGTTTTGATTTAAAAATATTTATATTTGTAAGCGTTTTGATGTCATTCCAAATTATTATACTCCATAGTTGGGGGCCTCTAGCTATGATAAAAAACTTAGTGGCTTCAAAGTGAGTTTTAGCTTGAATATAATTATTGTTTGTATGTCTAGTAAGATATTTGTGTTGTATTTTTTTAAATAGCGTTTTAAAAATATTTGGCATCGTATCGTTATGGATTTTATACAAAGAAATTAAATGATGATATATATTTATTTGGTAAATATTTAAAATTTTTAGATTAATAAATAGTAGTTGTGAATGAGAGAGACAGTCTGCGTTGAATATTAGTTTTATGACATGTTTTTGTTTGTTGAATAGTTTAGTTTTTTTTTTTATTGTTGCTGCACTAAGCAATATTTGCATAATTGAGATAACAATGGATAAAAGTAAAGTAGATATATTTTAAGCAAATTTGATTTAGGTAAGGTGTTACCTTATAAAGTATGCCAATATTTTTAGAAATTTTATTTTCGATTAATTTTATGTGGTTTATCTATGTAACATTTTCGTCAAGAAAAACTCCTAGAAACTGCATTGAGTGTTCTCTTTTTATAAATTGATTCCCAATGCTAACATTTGGAATCTTTAGAGGAATTTTGTCTCTTTGATAAAGGTGAAGAAAACAAACAAACTTAGTTTTGGTTAAGTTTCGTTAAATGGATTCTTGAGAAACTCCACAAGTGATTGTCTTATTTTCAGTTTTACCCTATCATAAGAAACATACTGCTTTCTATTAGACAAGTAAGTTTTAAACCAAACTATATTTGCATTTTTAACTCCGTAATTTACTAGTTTTTTTAATAAAATATGGTGGTCAACTGTGTCAAAAGCTTTGCTATGGTCTATATCTAATGGCTATACCATAGCTTTGCTATGGTCTATACCTAATTTCTTTTTTATCAAAGGCTCAAAAAGTCTCATAAACAAGTTTAAGAATAGCATGATCAGTTGAATGACCTTTTTTGAACCCATATTGTTTGTTGTAAAAAATATTATTTGTTTCTAGAAAATAGAATAGTCTATTATACATTATTCGTTCCAGAATTTTAGAGAAGCAAGGAAGAATGGAAATAGGTTTATAATTAGAGATATTAGAAGAATCACCCGATTTGAAAACCGGTATAACTCTTGCAGTTTTAAAACTTTCTTGAAATATTCCTTGTTTTAAAGAAAGATTAAAAATATGCAACAATGGTGTTATTAAATAATGCATAGATTTTATTACAACATTACTGCTTATTTCATCACAGGGGCCTCGGAAGGTTTTTAAATGTTTGAAATAACCAACTTATAAACATCAAGAATATTCCAAATGTTTTTGCGTTTATATTTATGCCGAAAAAATTCTTTAAAAAAAAAAAAATACTGTTATTGGAGAATGAGAACAAGAAGCCCTAAAATCTTAGCCCCTCCTTCCCCAAACGTGAGAGCAACAAGTTGACGAAATATTTTTTGTACTATTTTCAACTAGACTGATATGCATCGAGAAATTTTAAATTTCATAGTAAAATATTTAGTGTTCAAAAATTATGACCATATAAAGTTTAAACCCCCCTCAATTTGAGGGGGTTGCAAACTTTATATAGTTATGACTTTTGAACACTAAAATATTTTACTATGAAGTTTAAAATTTTAGATATGAACGTAAAAAAAT